GATGGTACATCCATCCGATGGTGAAGCTTGGATCCGCTTTAATGACAAACATCATGACAAAGCAGATGAGGCTCGTAATGTACGTGTCGCGCTGGCAACAGATGGGTTCAATCCTTATGGAATGATGGTTGTCCCATACACATGTTGGCCCATCTTCGATATCCCCCTTAATCTCCCCCCCCCCTTGGTGTCTCCTTTCAACGACATAACGTATTATTGTCGTTGATAATTCCTGGACACCCAGGGAGTAATATGGGTGTGTTCATGGAGCCCGTGTTTGATGAATTGGTCCATGCTTGGGACGAAGGGGTATGGACATACGATCGAGCTACAAAGACAACCTTCAAAATGCACGTTTGGTACCACTACTCCCTGCATGACTTCCTGGCGTATGGGATATTCTACGCCTGGTGTGTTCACGGGAAGTTCCCATGCCCAATATGCAAGGAAGGTGTGAGGTTCATTTGGTTGCAGAAGGGTGGCAAGTATTCATCGTTCGACAGACATCGTCAATTCCTACCTCTTGACCATCCATTCAGACAAGACATCAAGAACTTTACGAAAGGTGTCAAAGTGACAAACCCTGCACCGCAGCTAACACTACTAAATTTTGACCCTATTGCACCGGTCAATTTTTGATGTTATAGGTCTAAAATAGATGCAATAGTTCGGTTTCACATCAATTTCTTGTTTGATGCCAGCTGATGCAAGTGGTCTTGATGCAATAGCCTTTCACATCGATTACTTGTGGTTGATGCGAGAAGCAGCTATTGCATCGTGCATCTGTTGTCTCTTGCATCAAAATTGAGAGATGCAATAGCTTATTGCATCCAAATCATGTTGATGCAATACATCTATTGCAACGGCTATCGTTCGATGCAATAGACTATATTGCATCCATATTAGGTTTGGTGCTATATAATCTATTGCATCACCATTTTGATTCGATGCAATAGGTTCTATTGCATCATCATTTTGGTTCATTGCAATAGGAACTATTGCATCGACGTTATGTTCGATGCAATTCGAACTATTGCATCGACATGAGGTTAGATGCAATACAAACTATCACATCGACATGAGCTTGGATGCAATACAAACTATTGCATCGACATGAGATTTGAAGGGCAACCAATTATTGCATCAAATTCATTGCATAGAAATTCATAAAATTATAAAATTCAATGGCACAAAAAGGCAATCATATTAATAACTTGGATCATAAGCATTCAATAGTTTGTACAATGTAAGGAAGTCAAATGCCTTCCTATTTCCAAATAATTAATTGCAAAGTTGAACTGCATTACAAACCACTAACTTATGCTACAAATAGGCAATCATAAACAAAAATACATGTCTCTTAGCATAGATCAACATGACATCTTTCTCGTTGCACAATATTTGATTCATTTCAGCTTGCCAAGACTCCCTCAAGGTTGATCTTCCTGAAAAAGTCAAAATGACATGCATTAGTAATATATATAGTTGATCACACAGTTGGAATCAAACATAGACAACACATGATAGACAACAATATTTTTGGGTTTAACAAATAGAATGGATACTGAAGCCGAACTATAAACACATAAGGCATGAACTCCTGATTGCTCATGTTAAGTGAACAAACATACATATATAAGTGAACAAAGTTCATGTTAATAATCTGGACAACAACTTAAAATGACACCTAATTGCTCATACCTTTCTTCCTTTCTTTCTGCATTGTAGCTTTTTATTTGCAGCAGTATTCCTCAGTGTTTGTGATGTAATAAATGTCACTGTCTCATTACTATCTTTATCATTTGGGAAAAGTGATCTGTTGGCGCTGCGAGTGAGGCGACTAGGTTGGATACTCTTCTATTTGCTCAACAATACACTGTCTGGTACAGTCTGTAAAAACCAGAAGATTTGAAGGAGCAATCATCACTTAGCAATTCTAAGAATCTGTTCAACTGCAGGTGATAATTTTGAAGTATATTACCTGTTGCACATGTTCTGATCTTTGGATGGGAGTCGGAACAACAGCAGGTTCATTATGTGTGGGCAGGGCAAATTCTATACCAGCCTTCATATTTTAAAAAAGATTCACACATTATGTCAGATTAAATGTAGGTATCCATTACATCGCAGTTTGCATTTATCAAAAAATAATACCTGTGCTAAATCTGCACCTTCATTTCCACTAACCATATTTTCTGCATGCTGAGGGGCTGTTGTGGTTGGTGTAGCATTCTTGCATTAGAGTTATAAGGAGAAACATTAGCAATCAAGCTTTACTAAAATCAATGATGTTGGTAACAATTAAGAAGTAGTATTATTACCAAAGGCGGTGCTTGATTGTGTTGTTTGATTAGTGAAAAAAAACTCTTGCCTTAGTTCTTCTCTAATCTTGCTACTTGTACTCTCCAGTTGATGTTGCAGCTGCTGAATTTTTTCCTTGTCACCCTCCCTCTCAGCGGCTTGAACGGTAAGCTTTTCTTTTAACTTCTCTACCTCAGCTTGCATCTCACTATTCTTCTGTTGGGCTGCTGCTGCTAATGCAGATGCACGAGCTTGCTCTTCAATTCATTCATTCATAAGTTGGCTTCGGGTTGGATACTTTGCCAAGTATCCATGTGCAGGACCTTTCCTGCTCTTGCATCCAGTGGTTTCCTTGTAGGTTTCATGAAGAATGTGCCTTTCTTGTTCTTTTGAAATCACAGAAGCTTCCAACTCAATTCTCTCTGCAATTTTGGAGAAGGCGCTTTCCTAAATTTAAGAACACAATTAGTGTTTTCAACTTTAGCAAGTAGCAACAGCAGTTCCAGTTCAAGTATAATAAGAATTAGGTAAAATGGATACTTTGGAAATCAAACTGTATCAGTTAGATTCATGTACTGATTACTTCCTCAAAAAATCCAAGTCCATGTTAATCATGCAAATATGATTCCTAGCAAAGCATGTTGAGAGGTAAAAAGCAATGGACAGTTGAACTCTAGCATTTCAGAGATATGTATGACATTGGAGATAAATGAATAAAACATGTTATGAGAACATACATCACTGGACACTCGTTTACCGAGTAGCCCAGCTCTATTCAAATCACTTTAGAGAACATAATTAACTACATAAAGCATCTAAATAAGCAACTTGCTTTCCAGCAAGTTCCCAGAAATCTGGGCATGCAACAGCTGTACAGAAAATAAATCATATCTGGAGATATACAAGTCCAAATGACTTGCAAGAGGACATTCTGGAAATCTTATAAAATTCTCGAGATTTCATCTTCATACATCAAAGCATGATTCAGAACTTAAGTACTTCGAAATAGCAGAATTACACAAACTACTCTGCCGAAACAGAGAGCACCCAAAAACTGGGAGGTAACTTCAAACAGCTGTAACTTTCAAACCACTAGGCCAAATGACCTCAAATTTGAACAGCAGCTAGATATGACAATTATCTTCGACTTTGGTATTCACAAGTTTCCCAGGAAACAAACTTATCAAGGTGAAGTTTTCTAAGTCCCCAGATCTGTCCAGATGGGACCAACATCTCACTTAAAGAATTAACGATGTTCCAAACTTACATTTGGACCATACCAACCATATCATGACAGCATACATAACTCATGGACACCAGAAAATATGATGGCCATCATAAAATAAAATTATTTGATGTTTTTCTAAATTTAAATAGATACAAGGATGCATAAAAAACCATATACAAGACTTGCATAGAAAATTTTACAAAAATTACAGCAGCTACCATATGCTATCAGGAGGCCATAGAAAAAGTTTGGAAGCATTTGGCTCATCCAAACTTGCTATACCAAAAAGAACAGGTGGCACAACTGAAAATAGCATAAATAAGAAACTAAAGATAGGATTGCCAAACCCAACACAAGGACAAGGAGATGATGACCTTTTATCACCCAATCAGGGCATGTACAACCATCAATATAATAATTATGTTATATATATTTGCAACATCACTAAGTACTAATGAACAAAGTAGCACTTACATATATTTCCTTAGCAGCATCAGAAGACCATCGGCCCTCCTTGGTGCGTGTACTCCTCCAAAATGTCAAACCATCTGGCTCTTCACCAGTCTCCAGGTTTCTCTAAGATGTGAAAATTGAACATTGTTACTGTTTAGGTAAAAAATAAAAGAAGATTAGGTTCCATATCATTACCTGCTCATAACTAACTTGTGAAAAAGGTTTTGATCCTGTAAGATGTATTGTCTGTCGATGCTGCGAATTGCTAGAGTTTGTGGTGCTTATTCGCTAATATAAACACAGATATGTTAGTTGCACTACAAAAATACAGACAATAAACACATATATGTCAGAGGCTTGGAACCTGGAATTTGTCACTTCCAAAATACAACACCAAGTAGTGTCACTCCACAATGTCCAAATCATCTGGCTTATGTCTCATTCTTTCATGATAACTGTTGTATGCCTTGTATGTGGCACTCAATTGAGCTCGCCATCCTTTGTAACGATACTTTGCAATCTTCCATATCCTAGCCTTCTCATCATCATTGTTCTCAATGTTCCACCTAACCTGTAGAAAAGGGATACCAACAAATTGTGAACAAATAAGATATTACAAAGAATTAATTTATCATATGCGGGAGCAAGACTATAACATACCATTATATCTCGTGCTATTTTATCTTTAACAATCTGCTTGACATCTCCCCACTTTTTAACTCCAATAAGTGGAGTCCTTTTTCTTGTAAACCGAACTATTTCATCAACAAACCCGCGATAGTTATCTCCTATAGGACCGCCTTTCGTGGATGAGAAATCTATACTAAGTTTCTCAGTGCCAAGTTTAAATCTCTTAGCTTCGACCGATAAACCTTTCAAGGTTCCACGCCCAATCTTTCTCTTGTCGCCAACCCCTACTGTAAAATTGATGTTATACAATGGAACGTATGTTAACATTATAAATCAGCATTTTTATGTTATAGTAATGTATGAACACGCTGAACCATTGCATACCTTTCTAAGAGGCCTTTGGGCTATGAGCATGAGCTGGAAACTGCATTGGTGTTGCGCTATTGTCACCACTTCCGTCTTCTTCAATGGTTTCATCATCTAAATATGCGTCTGCACATACAAAAAAGTGAAAGTACACAGTTACAATGGAGTTGGAAATATATATATACATATTAATGCTTCCACTAATGCCAAGATAAAACAAAATCAGATTACATATATCTTGAAGAAGCCCTTCCCTCCTAACCATTCTTTATATGTTGCAACAGTATTCAGCCGGGTATCATCATTAAATTCTACGAGATGCATATATAGATGTTATATATATAGTGTCAGTTTTAGATCAGTAACTAAAAATCATTGAGATGTATTTTTCTAGTACATTAGTACCTGGGTTGTTTTCATCCTGTGGCAGCTTATTGAGCCACACCTTGTACGCATCAATGTCTTCATCCTGAATTCCTTTTCCACTAACTTCCTCATGTATACTACGTTGCTTAATCGGTGTGATTGAATATTCTCCTTCCTGGTCTACCTGAGTTGTTGAAACTGCTATCCTAATTGTCTTCTCTTCTATACAAACTTCTATCATTGCCAATGCATCTTCTTCGTAATCTATACGCTGCAGCAAAGCTCTATCGTTGCCACATCTCTTCATATAGTACATGAAGTCCCTCGCAGAATAACCCAACTTAACTTTCTACTTTAATAAGTTGGCAAAGGTAATTCTATCACGGTCAATGTCCAATATGGCACGTTGCTGGTCCTTGGGTCCCCTCGAGAAATCAATAAATACTTTCCATCTATCTCCCATTTTCTCGTGTGTTTTCCTACAAAATATTTTAACTTCATTCAACAAATTTATCTTATGATTGTAAAATCAATTAATGACTGCAATATGGCAAATTCCTAACAATTTTGGGAACAAACCATATAAAATTATTCACTGCAATATGGTCAATTTATGTATGGTCAGTACCTCAATTTTCAAATTTACCCAATATCTAAATTGTTCTTTCAATAGAAACAGTAGTGTTATAACATCATGTGTGCACTTATCCTATCTCTTCCCAGGAAACACAAGCATACCCCAGTTGTATCACATCCAACCAATTATAATTGAAAGCTTAAAACTACAAAGATTTTTAAATCATCAACTTAGCCACCACAATTTCTTGAAAATAATGACGGATAATTGAATTTTTTTAAACAGAGTTCAATTAATTAATTAATTGACCAACCAATTAATTGACGGAAATTCTCCAACCAACACATAAACTTCATATCGACAAGTACCTGGGTTGGTCATCTTTTTGCTTCTCGGGTCCATCTTGTCGACGATGAGGTGTGTCTATGACACCTTCAGGGCTGGACCGCGTGGAGAATCTCCTGCTGGACGGAGGAGATGGCGAGCTCATGGAGGGAGGAGATGGCAACCTCTTGGATCCATGGATCCGCCACCGCCGCCTATCGATGGCCCTCGATCTCCCACAGTCACAGTCGCGCCAGCGCCTGTGCGTAGTAGCTATGGATGAATCTGTAGATAGAGCTGAGTGGATGAGGAGAAAGAGAGTTTGGGGAAAGGGAAAGGAGGGCGCGGACGAGTCGGCCGGTAGGCCGGGTCCTGTGACGTGGGATGCGGCGCTCTAGAGAGTAGCTGCCGCAGTGGGGAATTTTGAGGAGGGAGGAGCTTAGCCAGCTAGGGTATTGCCAGGCGTAACTGACACGGGGGATATCCTATTTGGGCTGGGCTGGTGGCAATTTAACACGGGAGTGAAAAATTCGGATAGAATTTGGATTTAGCTAGCGCCAAAATTCTAAGCTCAAAACAACTTTAATTAAAAGGGGCTCTTGCGTTTGTACTCTTGTTTTGTATCGAAATTTGGTCTTTTCTTTTGAGGTATGGATTTTTTTAATTCATTTATTCACTGGACATCAGATGGACATCCAAAGTAGGGGTAGATGGATAGTTCAGTTCAAAATAACAAGGGCAAAAACACAAAGTTGAAAAACACAGGGGTAAAATCACAATTGAAGTACTGGACAAGGGCAAGAACACCATTTTCCCTAATTAAAAATCTTTTCAAATGATATGATGAGTCATAATCTAAAATCTTAAAAAGGTTTTTAATTAAAAAAATCAATGGAGCAATGATCTTGCTTCTGTAGATGGCAGCATAGATGCTCTAGATAAAGGTAATTCCTTTTGCACCACGTATATATTTCCAAATGCATTTATGTCCTCATACTGCTGCCAAAAACTTTTAATGATTATAAAAATATAAAAAAGGAAACTAATGGTTGTGTTGACATTGACATAAAAATTAGTCACACACTACAAATGTTAGATCGCACAGGTCACAAACGGACCGAGGCGGCATGACTCTGCACACAACGACATATGATTCAAGGACAATGCTTAGCTAGTTTTCTCGGGTTGAGTCTATGAATGCCTTGGGGTAGCGAGGATCACACTTATGTGGTGAAGAACAACAAAGTTTACGAGCAAACTACCAAAGGATAACTAATTATGCTTACACAACGAAGAACGATTAGTTTTCAGGCAAACTAGCAGAGGAACTGTCGGAACTCTCGCCAGAGCATGGAGGAAGTGATTAAGGCAAAGAGAAGTAAAATAGATTAGTTTTTGATTGATTGTGTGTTGGGCACCTTAACTTCGCCCAATTTTGGTTGTCAACGGATTGCAAGAGGTGACATGTTCAATTCTTATTTGGGCTATTTTTACAAGAATATAATGATTACAAAATCGAGTGCTCGGTGTGTCGATGGCGATGTGGAAAGAGGACTAGGGTATCCATGTTGGAGGATATAAAATGATTTTCACTAAATTTTTCTATAAGAAAAAAAATTTATCCGCTAGTCACATTAAAACCTACTAGAAGTGAGAGATAGAAGCTCATGAGCGTGATTGGTTTCCTGAATATGGAAGAGCCTTGCCATGGGAAACATGATGTTATTGTTTTGTTGCATGTATGCGTAGCCAGTGGCGGAACTGGGCCAAATCCAAGCCTAGGACCACTCAATAGAGTTAATGGGCTGGTTGTATTAGGCCTTCTTGCTACAATAGTCTACAGTACAGAAAAAATAGCCCAACGCCTAGGCCCGTGGCCCTAGCGGCCCCAGGCCTAAATCCGCCACTGTGTGTAGCTGACTAGGTTGGACATATGCAAAATGATGCGACGAGCTAGGCTCCAGGGAAACAAAATCCATTCTAGCGAGACAAGCTCCATTGGTGATGTGCGGTCGCCCACTGGGCACTTTGTGCGTGCATCTAAGGCCTTGTTTAGTTGGCAAAAAATTTTGGGGAATGGTACTGTAGCACTTTTGTTGTTATTTGGCAATTAGTGTCCAATCATAGTCTTCTCAGCGATGCACGGAACTTGGCGAAGGGGAACCTGCCTGGCTGGACCAAGCCTGGTGAATCTTCTCAGCGAAGCAATCATGCCCTATGTACATGTGCATGGAGATGTCAATAGGGAGATAGCTCCTCATTCCTGTTCCATAGTTTTCAATTCGGATTAGGCAAACCCGGCTTGATCGTCTTTTGTTTGAAAATTTTGAATTTGAAACCTGAGAAATTCGAACGTAATTGTTTTCAAGTGGGATCATACATTGTTCACAAATGGATACATATCTCACATGTACTTTTTGCAACCTATGGTCTCGATAAATCATGTTCTTCTAATAATAGTTACTAAAACATAATTCATCTGTGACATGATGCTTACTAGGCTATCCCTGTGATGGGACCGGGAATTTTTCTCCCCATGGGGATAGAGATAGGGAACTATCCTCGACGAGAAATTTCCCATTGACATCCCTAACAGAAAGGCATAGGTGTTGGTTCTAAATATACTACCTTCGTTCTGAAAAGTGTGTCATTCTCACCTTCACAAAGTCAAACCAATCGCAAGTAGCACTAGTTTTACGCCTTGTTTGCTTGGCTTATAAGCCGTATTTTTTTCAGTCAACGAACAATATTTTTCTCTCACAACAAATCAGCCAACAGTACTTTCAGCCATGATTTATCAGCCAAACGAACAGGACATTAGATTGGTTTTTCACTCTACTAAAGTAAACAGAAAAATGAAGCTATGCTTGAGAAAACTAGCCTTAGCTTCGAATCCTGTCCGTGCGCAAGAAACGTATTTCTGCGTGAAAAAGCATGCCACTTGTGACTTGCGACGTGCTGCTGTGTAGGGGCTTCTCTAGATTTAAAAAATAATTTTCTATTTTTTGCCTGATTTTGTGATTTATGGAGATGATGAGCATGTAAAATATATTTTCTATAAATTTTATTACACCTAAAATCAATATGAAACAACCAGCATCAATATTTTTATCCGTGCGCTGCTATTTTCCATACACGCGCCATTATTTCCATCTTCGCTCCTCGCGCCAGCAAAAATTTTAGTTCACCCGCATAATCTATACAGTGTTCGGGATAAAATACCAAATATGTATACTGAGCTAAGGGGATGGAGTCAGTTGGTCCACACGGTCTGGAGGGTACAACAGTAAAATTTGTTTCTTTTCACGAATTGCCCTAGATCACCCGCTCTCTCGCTTCATTTCCCTGCCGCCGCCCCCTGCTCACTCTCCCTGTCGTCGCCCCCCTCAATCCTTCCACCACCACCCCTTCCCTACCCTGCGCCAGGACTACTTCCCCTCCGTAGCACCGCGATGCCTCCGGAAAGGAAGCCCCCTACCCTGCGCCAGGACCACTTCCCCTCCGCAGCACCACGATGCCTCCGGAAAGGAAGCCCTCAGGGAATCGGAACCTCGTAGGTAATTTCTCCACCATCCCCGTCTCACCATGGTTGGAATTGGGGCTAGGGGGCTCGTAGTTCAAGTTTCAGATGCTAGGTCATGGCGGCTCCGGCGAGGGTGTGGAGTCTGGGCCACCCTAGGCAGACCCCATGGGCCGGAGATTCTTGGGTCTGTGTTATGGATTTCGAGCAGGCAAGAAATTTGTACTGGAAATTCTCAGGTGTGGTTTTCACCGATGGATTATTGCACAGGTGGTGGTGTGTTCAATTTTGGTGCTGGATTTTGAAGGAGTACCCAATTTTGGTGCCGATGGGTGTCTAATTGCTGATGCATAATACAGAGAAGCATGATGCGGCAGCAGCAGCTCTGTCTCCCTCTCTATGCTAGATAGTGTCTCCACATTTTCAATGATTTCTGCTTTATTCTGAATTTAAACATGTTGATATTATTCTTAGTTCCATTCAGATTCCATAGTGTTGTCCTATATCTATTGTGAAAAACGAGCACCAGTATCATTTGTATTTGTCCTATCATATGTCTGCTTTACTCACTAAATTTCTTCAGCATGAGGTCTCTCTGATAGCCATATTGTTGCATGTTTTTGGTTGCATGAGCATCCTGGTAAGTCCAATGGGTTATTGGATATTGGGGTTGTATTATGCAATCTTTAAGAAGACCCTGTTATAATATTCTTTCCTCAAGAAAACCAACTATTGCTGAGAGGTTATTTGGGGACCTTCATGCCATCAGGCTTAGCATGTCCAGGGCTTTGCATAGAATGAAAATGAAAATAAGTGCTGCTGTATCAAGTCTGTCAGTTAGACAATTCTTTATTGAGGCCAGTGCTTCTGTAGTTCTAGAATGAGGTGATGGAAT